CAATAAAAGAAGATATTTCATTTCTATTTTTTTTCAATATGTTTATTCCATGACAATTGTTCATCAATGTATGTACCTGAAAATTTTGTTGTTACTGTATATTTAATAGAATTGTGATCAATCATAATCGAATTATATGAAGTCTTATTGAAATATTCAAATATGAGCATTTATTAAAATTAAGCGTCAATATTGAACCTAATGAGAATGTGACCCAAATCATTCTCCATATTATTTTAAATTTTTTCGTAACTCTCTGAGGAATGTTCACGTAATTGAAGTATCATCAGCAAATAATTTGATTATACCATTCAATTTCAAGTCGGAAAGAAAATTGATGAAAATAAGAAAAAAAAACAAAGCCAAGAATGGATCCTTGAGGTACAGCACGAGTTATATTTTGAAGAAAGCTTTTTTGATTACCTATATAAACATATTCTCGTCTATTATATGAATAGTTTTGAAATCACTTGAGAAAATTACCTCTGATTCCAAAATTGAGTGATTTTTTCAACAATGTGTTATGAATGAAGGTAGAATCTTTCCCATCTTGTTATATTTTATTGAATGTTTCATTTTTTTCAGCACTCACTTGGTTTGATAGGAGTTATTATTCTCATTGCTTCTGTGGATATGATGTTATTATTACCTTCAGCACTGCTTTTGGTTAAAATGTATTACATGAGAAGAATTTACATAAATATTGGAAGAAACATGAAAAGACTCGACTCAGCAAGTGAGTACATTTATTATTCTGGAGGTCAGAGGTTTCAGCAAAACTATAGATTTTGAAATAGCTTGAATTGAATGAACATTGAGTGGTTTCAAATCTCAAAAAAATTTGATTTAATTTCATCATGAAACCTTTAAAACTATATTTGAAATTTTTTCTACAAGAAGTCGACTAATTCTCATGAAGCAAACTGTTGGAAAATGTTCAAAAAGATTTCAATGTATGTTTCAGGGGGGCTTTTTATCTAGTTTGTGTCTGAAAGTTACTTCTTTGCATAATCTACACATCTCCTTTCAAAATTGATTACTTCCTTTCTTTGGAAGATAACTACAATTTGTTTGTATCAAGGTGGAGCAGTAGGAAGCCAAAAACTTTCGTTCCCAAAAATTAGTCATGCCTAAAAGAATATAACCCTTTCTATTTAATCAAGATTCTATTTGGCTGGGATTCAATCATATAGGTGAATGAGTGTCATTACGATGTCATCGATGACATAGCTATATCAAACTTATTCCGTGACATGAAAAATCGTAATTTATGAATGAATTGTGTGTTTCTTCGTATAATGTTATCCAGATTCGTACTGAAGAGCCCCGAGGCAAGTGTCTTACGGCGAAACATCGATGTCTACCAGTGAGGATGACACTGTAAGTGAAATTTTTACCTTTTATTCAGTATACAGCGTGTCTCACTTCTCATGAAAACACCCCCGTATCTCCCATAATATTCGAGGTAAAACAATGAAACTTTCAGAACTAATGGAAATGCTCAAAATGCACCACCATCTGAATGGGGTTGGCCAAAGTGATATACACTGTCCGCCACTCGCGATGGAACACCCCAGTTTTACGGTAAAACATATTAGGGCCAAANAATAAAAACGGTGTGGCACGCCATTTTACTTACTATTTTTTTGCTAGTGTCGTTTCAGTTTGAATACACTCAGTTTTACCTATATAACCCTCAAACTTGTTGAAATTTGGTACTATAAAATCCAGTAACTAGTCCACTAGTCCACAAATTATATAGTTCTACTATATTTCGAAAGACTACTTTATGGACAAGAAACTAATTGAATAGATATGTCTTTAGGGTTTTTTCAAAATTGTCAACTGTGTGAGATCGAAATTCACAGAGTAGTTGATTACAATATTTGGGTGCATTATACGCGAAACAGCGAATGAAGATGAAAGATGTATGTTTAGAGATTACTGAAACTGAACTGTTCTGTATGGCAAAACTAATAATTGAGGAAAATGATATCTCACAAATATTATCTGAGAGATATTTGGGTCACCAATAGTTTTGGCAATACAGTGTGGCTTTCAGAACTCTGCAAGGAAAATCAAAATTCACCAAATTTGAAATACGTCTTGAGAACAACATATTTATGCTGTGAGATCTCAAAACTTGCTTGATATTCCACTCCACGTACGTTGAAATTATGTGTCAAGATAGTTATCGAAGTACTTCACTTCTGATATTGCCCCATCTCAAGATTCATCCGAATGCAATTTCTAAAATTATTTCCAGTCATGAAAATGTTCGATAACATACATTTGTCTTTGGATACCTTTCATGAGTTGAAAACTACTGGATTATATTCATTACTCAATTTCCAATTTCATTAAATTATATAGTTTATAATCTATTTTAGATTTAGATTTCAACAGCACCAGATTCAAATGATTTCCTTTCCTACAACAATCTTATACTTTCCAGTTATGGACTTTTTATAAACCGGTATAAATCTGAATCATTTAATACTATCTCCAAATGAAGTGAAGATGATAATAGTAGTAGGAGTGATATAAATAGTTTTTTACCATATTTTCAGTTTACGTCTCCAAGAAAGTCAGTCAAATGAGGATGAAATCAGCCAAGAAAACTGATGAAAGAATTCAGCTGACCACAGAAGTATTATCTGCTATCAAAACTATCAAAATGTATACATGGGAAACCGTGTTTGGCAGAAAAATTTTGGAACTGAGAAAGTACGTATATTCGCTTGCCTCCGGTAATATTTTCATAATACTCTCCATATTTGAATAACCGCCTGAGTAAGTGATAACTGTTGCCCCCAACTTCATCATCGAAAACTTCGGATAGAATATTTTTCATAAAACTCCCAAACAAACATTTTCAAAAAANCGCACGTTGGAATACAAGTTACGAGGTATTGCATAGACAAAATAGCGCGAAAATATTACGAGGTAATGTTTTCTTCATTTTCAGCCGTTCTAGAATCTTATCAGCTTCCATCTTTGATTGATAGATGCCGCTACTTATTCTAAAGACAAAACATAAAATAACTCATTTTTGAGAATTTTGTCAGTTACGAGGTCCTGCGTTTCCGCCGTCGATATGTCTAAACATATTTTGAAGAAGGAAATTTTCAAGGCTCCCTTGAAAGTGAGCCTTGAAATGACCTGAGATAATGTCACTAAATTATATATAGAGTACTTTCAATCCTCTGATTGGCCTTGAGGTAGCGAGTTATGAATTTTGATTGATTCTGACCTGTGAGTTATTAATTATATTGAATTTCATTAGTTCGGACTTCCATTGTTTATTAGGATATGATTTGAAATCTCTCAATTTTCAATTTCTATTACATTTTCACTGTTTATTTTGTTTTTTTTTGCCTATTTTTTGCACTCATCAGTGCAAGATAGTGGCCATCATCGACCTAAAGTCAATGATATTCCATAATTGAAAATCAGCATTCGTTCAGAGTATTTCAGTCCTCTTCCCAAGATGGAGCCAACATCAAAATGTTACTCCATCTGGTGGATGAAGTACTAACCAACTGCATATCAGAAATTTGACCGATTCTTTTCTTATTGGTCAGTGGGCTATGCTCCATTCAACCTACTGTGTATGTATACTCGAGACTGGCTTGAACGTTTAAAGTTCATTCATTTAGATTTGTTTACTGCCAGTCTTCAAGCATAGCCCACTGACTAATAGGAAAGTTTTTCTTCCTCATTCAGAAAAATCGGGCAAATTTCGGATATGCAGTTGGTTAGTCCCTCGTCCACTAGAATTTCAATTATGTAATAACACTGACTTTAGGTCGATGATGGTCACGTTCCAAAATTGAAGGTCGACTCTTTCAGTTGTATTGCCAATGACTTATGCAATAAATTTTCTGTGAAGATTCCTGCACTGATGCCTGTTGGATATGATCCAACGCCCTTCGTGGTATCATCCAGAGGAGTAGTTGTTTCCTGACAGGCGTCAGGCGCCATTCAACCTACTGTGTAGGTATATTCGAGACTGGCTTGAACGTTTCAAAGTTCATTTCCATAGTTTTAGTTAAGTAGTACATTGCAATTTGAAGAAATGAATTGCAAATTTCAATAGAAAATAACGCAGTCGTTATTTCACAATATTCAAATGAATGTAAACTCTACCTATTTGTTTTCTCCATATTGATTTCATTTTTATCAGTGCCACATTTTGTGCACTGAGCCTTCATTTTTATGTTACTATAACTTCCTTCATTTGCCATTCTTGTTCGATTTTCAGCTTTGTGTACCCGTTGTTCAAGAAGAGCACGAAGAAAACCTTGGAAGAAGATGACGTTTACGAAGTTGTGAATAGCCTGAGTTCTGAAAACCTAGGAACCAAATTAGAACGTCGATGGAAGCAGCAATCGAAGAAAAAGGGCCGTTCCCTAGCTCTGGCAATATTATCTTCCTTTGGGCTGAGTTATATCATATTGGGGATCATTCAGTTTGTGGTGAGAACTTCACTGATGTGAGTACTCATGAATATTCAAACTGTAGAACAATCTGAAATGCATTCAACGCAAAGCCCTTCTCTTTACAGTTTCTATATCTGTTATATTTCTCTTTTGGTAACTGATCCACTTTTCGTTAATTTTTTTTTTAATTCCAGATTTATCCAACCCACAGCAATAAGTATGCTGGTAGCATATTTTCAACCCAATCAACAAACGATTTCCAAAAGCGACCTTTATCAAAATACTGCCTTAGTAATTGGTCTGAATTTTCTTACCACTATTTACAATCACAACTATGAGCAATTCATCAACGAAATTGGGATTAAAGTGAGAACAGCAGTTGCAGCCCTAATTTATAGAAAGGCACTGAGGTTGAAACCAGAATCGTTTTCTGATATGACTACTGGTAAAATAGGTGTGTGCTATTGAATTAAGCTCGTGAAACATAGTCCTTCTTCTGAATACTCTGTAGTTCCTAACTTCTTTTTTTCATTAACCAAAAGGAAAATCTGTTCAGGCTAGTCTCGACTTACCTACACTGTAGGTGAATGGACTGACACCTATCAGAAAACAACTATTCCCCTGGCTTATACTAACAGGTGTCAGTGTGGGAATCTTCACAGAAGTATTTCGTGCTTATGCTGTTGACGACACAACTGCTGGAATCAATTTTCAATTATAGGAAAGGCAACACTTGCAGACCGGTTTCGGGCTATTTGGTCTCTCGTCAGTGCAATATTGGCCATCATCAAATATTCCATAATTGAAAATCGAATTTCTTTCAGATCATTTCTCTAAGTAAGTTGAAGCGAACGACAAACAACATATTTGTCATCCCTCCATCTGGTAAACAAGGTAGTAACCAACTAGGAAATACTTCTGTGAAGATTCCTGCACTGACACCTGTTGGATATAATCCAACGCCCTTTGTGGTATTATCCAGGGAAGTAGTTGTTTTCTGATAGGTGTCAGTCCATTAACCTACAGTGTAGGTAAGTTGGGACTGGCATGAACAAATTGTCCTTTTGATTGATTTGATTTACAGCTAGTCTTCAACTATGCCTACTGAATATATCTAAATTGGAAAGTAATTCGGAATACATAGACCAATCTAATAATAAGCAAAAAGCAGCCTGGAATGTTATTAATTGCAACAGAGAAAATAAAAATGAGTGTACAGTCGAGTCTGATATATCTGCAGATGACTTCACTCAATGCTTTGTAAATGTAATCGATACTGTGATGACACAGTTTGTGAATAATAGAGACAATGAAGATTTCTACAGGTATCTCAAATTGGCACCAACTATAGACAAATCTATCTTCTTATATCCTATTACTGAAAATGAGATTGATAACATCATAAAGGGTCTAAAAACCTCGTCCGTCAAAGATGTGTTTGAATTGATGTGAAAATTGATGTGAAAATTGATCAGTGATTTTATCATTGAGCTCTCAACACATCTAATAAATTTTAGTATTTCGCATAACACCTTTCTGGAAATTTTCAAACTCTCCCAGATATCTCCAATATTTAAAAAAGGTAACCATGATCATGCTAATAGTTATCGTCCCATCTCTATAATACCCATCCTAGCAAAAATTATCGAGATAGTTAGTAATAAAAATTAGACTGGTGGAATTCTTTGAAAAAAATGAGTTACTTACCAACTTTCAGTACGGTTATCGATCTGGAAAATCCACAGTTACGGCCCTAAGTGATGTTTGTGATAAAGTATTGGAGTCTTTCGAAACACAAGAACACTGTAACGCGAAGTTCTATGACCTTTCACGTGCCTTCGATACGGTAAATCATAAGATTATGGCTGGAAAACTTAAATACTACGGGATTAGAGGTGGACAACTGAATTTATTCAAGTCATACCTTGTAAATAGGAAAGCCAGAGTGCACTGGAAAAATGAAGTATCCGACTTTGTAGCCAAGGAGCACGGAGTACCACAAGGATCTGTACTATGTCCCATTATTTTTATTATTTATGTCAATGATATGATGTTCAATATATAGAGCCTAAGCATTTCTATTCACCCTTTTGGTTATGCTGACGATGTATCAATAATACATTGTGACACAAACATTCGGTCATTAGGAGAACTTATGATAGATTCTGATGAACTCTTTCGGATGTGGAATAAGAGTGACTACCTTTCCCTCAACTCTGACAAAACTCTGAATCTCAACTTTACACTGGTTGAACAAAGAGATGAAGATCCAGTAAAATTACTCGGTGTACAGCTTGACAACAGCTTGAATTTTTCATATCATATCAAGTATGTTTCAAAACGTCTCTCAACTGCCACATATTTTAAGACAGCTGAAAAGCAAACTAACGGAAGAATATTTGAGGATATCATATTTTTCATTATTCCATTCAACAATGACGTACGCTTTGATAGTATGAGGATCCTCGAGTAACTCAGTTAAAATATTTACTTTACAAAAAAAAAGTACTCAGGATAATGGCTGGGAAAAGTTTCAATGAACATTGTAAACCAATTTTTAGACAATTTGGAATTTTAACACTTCCTTCCTGTTTTATATATGAATGCTTAATCTACATGAGGAAGGAAATCTCCAAAAGCAATATGATTAGAAATGAAGAAATACATAAATACCCCACTAGAAAGAGAATGGACTTTAGATTGCCTAAACCAAGGAAAACCAAAACTAAGCACTCTTACAGATATCTGGCAATAAAATTTTACAATGCTCTTCCCACTGATCTAAAAGACGTAGCCCTGAAAATGAATCGATTAAAAATTAAAATCAAAAAAAATTTTATTGCGGAAAGTTTTTACTCATTCGAAGAATACTTTGATTTCTTTTTATATTCAACTAGATGAGTATGTACATCTGATGGATGTAATGTTACTGTTACCCTAGGGTGTATCTAATAATTTAATAATTGATAGTGTAATTCTATTTATGTACATGTAAATTACAAATACTAAAAACATGAAACATATGCTTTATAAATTGTTTACTTTCTAATACAGTGATATTTTCGAACAATCGCCAAAAGTAGTCCATTGGGACCACTTTCGTATACCGCAGTCATGAGAAAGCAGAAATTGTAGCATTTCCATTTAGGGCAGCTGCCCGAGCAGCTGGTGAACTGAACAGAGATTACATCACTCCAAAGGCAACACAAGCCAATGCAGGGGGTCTTTTTCAACTACATTGAAGACCTCAGCTTATCAAAGCACCTGACCTACGTTTTCCTCAATTCGATTGGGCTGAAGTTGGAAACTGAGAGGATCATCATGGTCTGCCAGGATGGTGTCTTTAAAAGTCTACCGCAGTCGCGTGATGGGTATAGAGGTTCCTGACACAAGGTGCAGTGCCTGCCGCGAGGCGTCTGAGACACTAATGCACTTGCTTGCACTTGCATATGCAGACTTGGCCTATATCCATCGACATAACACGGCCATAAGAATACTTCATCACCACATACGGCACTCTTACGACATAGAAGAGACACCAGTATTGGTCTACGCTCCGGGGGACATTGAACCAGTTTTGAGGAACGAGAAGTGTCGAATTTATTGGAACTATTCGTTCCCGCCCTCAGGCTTATACATGATAATGAGCCTGATGTAATTCGTCTAGACCACCAGAGCAAGACGATATTTGTCGTGGAGTTTTCAGCTCCTGGCGAACTCCCCAGACTTTGTTCAGACCACTTTGTCAAGATGCTTGTTCTAATTATTGGAGTGCTTAGTGGAATGATGGTCTCTCTATCCTCGAATTTCAAAATCATTTTGGCTTTCCGCACTAAGATAGAAATCTTAGTCGGACAAATGCAGAAGACTGAATGTATAGGGGCTTCGTGAGACTGGGTCTGACCAGCACAAACT